AAAAATCTAAATGTTCAATAGTTGGTATAAGTTTTAGTTAGACATGAGAGTCGAGATATGTTCCAATATGATCATCATTTATGCATTTTATCTTCATATGCATGTGTGTATATCTRTGTTTCAATAAAATGGGCATAGAACAAATTAAAACTTGTACCGTGTATATCATCCACTTGAGTTTGGATTCGTGCATTGGCGGGCTGAACGAGGATTAACGTTATTGAGCCCGTAGTGAATCTGGACATTGTAACCCGACTATGAGGGGAACAAGATTACGTACTAGAGCTTTTTACGAAGGGTTCGAGAAGATGATACACTTACCGAAATGAGCACACAAAAGGTAGAGTAACGTTTTAAGGCAGGAAATTGATATTTTACCGAGTAAATGATGATATGAAATGAAGTTTTATGGTGAAATATAAAAAAAAAAAGATATGCATGTGTCATAGAAAAGTGAGCGAGGTTGCGGAAGGAATTGTTGAACAAGTTGGTTAGGGAAAGCTACGAAGATTTATGGAATTCGGGGTATTGTATGATCAAGTATATTGGCTTAAACGATAGGTTCGTTTAGACAAGTAGTGTGTTATAATGTTTAGAAGTGTTGTTAKAATTATGTTTTGTAGTAACTAATTGATCGAATATGCCATTTATTAAATGTTAGTAATAATAATAAAATATATAGAAAATGTGTTAAATAAAAATAGAACTACATAAACTTTTTATTTTGGTGTCATTTTAATCGTCTTGATGAAAACTTTCTAATGATATATTTTGTTATAACAATTAATAATTTGATTATAATCTAATGAATTGCATGGGTTAAATTGGTCATCTTATTTGTCATGTCTGTCCTATTCTGTCTTTCTGGATACCAAACGCACCCTTAAATGATACCTCAACCTTGAGATTGGGATTAAATCCCAATYTGATTACGGGATTAATGCTAATCCTACTCGTATTACACCAACAAAACTTCAAGGAAGAACGATAAACCATCCGTGAAAAATCAAGCAACCTGTGACATTATTTAGAAAGAAGGTAGAGATAAAAGTGGTATCAGGTATGTGATAGAACAAACTAACGTTTGGGTAATTTGGTTGATAAATACAC